AAGAGTCATAGCTCTACATGAATGCATCTCTGCGTCAAGTCAAACTTCAGAGACTAGCTGAGATGGATTTTTGACTAGTCCTTCACTCTGACACATTTAAGCAAAGTCATCCAACGTGTGGAATGTAATCTCACTATGAATGCAGTTGTTCATCAGAGGACTGAACAACAACAACAAAAAAAAGTTTAATTAAGAGAAGTAGCCAAGAGGCCAGCACAAATTGTTGAGATCCAAAGCTGAGATGGGAGCTGTGGATCTGTTGTCATGGCAACTGTTTGTTGTGCACCTCAGAGATTTGTCCTTAATGGACAAGTTGCAAAAACACAGTCTTTGCTGGAAAACTTTAGAACCACTAAAGACAGAGCCTTCAGTCAGTCGTGGCAGATGGCTGGTCACAGTGAGCTAGGTTCTGGTTCTGCAGGAAGTTTCTTCTTGTTAAAGGGGAGTTTTTCCTGTCCACTGTCACCATGGTCAATATGAGGGATTGATGTAAAATTAACAACACAATGTGGGCGATTTTGTGCTTTCGCAGCGTGAAGAATGGGCACAGACTTTGGTTTCCAGATGTTTATTATATGTGTAATACATTATTTTATAAACTGCATTTTATGAAAATGTGTGTAAAAAAATGTTATGTACTGTCTGAGTTACATTAGATCGTTAATAGCTTTGACAGGTTTTAACAAATGATTTAACAAAGACAGATGACTACTTTTTCAGATAGGGCCAAGTTGGTTTGGATAACATTTAAGAAATGAAATCATCATTTGCAAACTCCTTTTTGTATTATAAACAAAAAGGTGAAATCGACAAAGAGGGCAAATAATAAACAGTAGATTTTCTGTGAGCTTAAAAATAAGACATGTAGCAATTTTTTGGTTGAATGGAATGTCAGATGTGTTGAGCAGATTGGCTCTTTGTGAATTATGTGTTTGGACACCAAACCGCTGAGGTCACTGCCGATAAACAGGGGGTCTCTAGAGCCGTAAATACAACAACTACAATAGAAGCAATCGGAAAACACTGTCCAGAGGTTTATAACATGTACAAATCTCTGCTCTGTGTAAGTGGTAGTTCTGTCAGTGTGATGTGTGGGTTACATTAGGTCGCATAAACAAGATGAGGCATCCAAAGAGAAAGCTGGGTGGGGGGGCGCCGAGGGGAAGGTTTCAATTAGTTCAGACAGGCTGTTTGTCTGCAGGTCCGGCTTTAAATGCCAGGAGAGTCTTAGACTCACCACAGATCAATAACAGCCTAAAGGTGAAAAGGTGAAGTTGCAGGCTGTGTTTCCAGGAGGGGCCGCTGACCTTGGTGCTGAAGCGTGGCTCAGGCGCGTTTCTCTGTCTTCACGCATTAAGCCTTTAAATAATGCATTTCGTTTTGTTAGTATCTGTCCGAGATATTTCACCTCCACGGGTTATGAAGATTTCCTTCCAACAGCTGCTTTCACGAGTGTCATCAGCTGACGTGTTTACCTCTGAGCTGTAGGCTCAAAAAAAAAAAAAAAAAAAAAAAAAACCTGAATATTAATCCCACTCTGGCTGCAGCAATGGGCTTCTTGGAAACCCGTCTCGCCTCGCGCACTACCCGCACGTCACTCGGCTGACATCAGCACGCGGCTTAAGTACCTGCAACCTCGCGCGCTTGAAACAGTAAACAGAGCGGCTGCTTCTTGATGTGGGCATGCTGAGGACTAAAGTGAACAGTTTCTTATGATTCACAAACTTTGCAGACATGGATTAGTTCCCCCCCCCCCCAACTTTTTTTCTGCACTTTACTCAAAGTTCCAACTTAGTTGTTATTTATTTATTTTATTTTATTTTTTTAAGAATGATTAACGGAACCGCTACGTTT